CTCTTGCTCAGGCTGGTCTCGAACTCCTGACCTTGATCGATCCACCCGCCTCGGCCTCCCAGAGTGCTAGGACTACAGGCATGAGCCACCACGCCCGGCCTAAAGACAGGAATTTTGAATGTTCTTTTTTCTCTCCCAGGACAGAGCCACCCAGCTAATCCCCCAGTGACTCATATACTCCCATTCTCCGCAGTCCACTCCACTCCCTATTGTCTCACACTCACCCTCTTTCACTCCTTTACATTGTCTGCCAGGCTTCTGAAGGCACTTGAGTCTGAGATCCCACTGAGGGCTACAAAATGACATTTGTCAACAAAACCACTGAATCAGTGATATAGGGGAGAGGCCAGAGTCTACATGACACAACTCCACTGTATCCGCCCAAAACATCCCCCTGGGAGGGATTTACCACTCAGTGGCCCAGACAGAGGAAACAAGACTACTCTTACTTTTCTCACAAAACGGGGGGTCGCTGCTCCAGCTGAGGTCCCACTGGCAGGTGAGGGTGTCACTCCCCACGATGTCATAGCCGGGGTCGCACTGGTAGGTGATTCTGGCTCCCCTCACGAGCTCCGTGTGAGAAGTGGTTTTCCACCCGTTCTGGATCTCAGGCAAGTCTGAGCAGGAGTCGTTTCTTGACACCTCTTTAAAACAAAAACATCATCCTTAGGTGGAGAGGCGGCCCTTTTGTGTGGGTATCCCTTTATGAACGCTAGCGGAGAGAGTGACTAGAAGAAAAGCCTCCAGAAATAAGTAACGCACTTCTGAAATCCCTTAAATGGCAAGAACTCTTCCATGGCGATATTTTACAGTTACTGTTCTCCATGGGCTACAATGTCATGAAAAACACTGAGCCTCTCTCCTGGCTCTCTCTTGGATCACCTGCTCTGGAGGAAGCAGCAGCCATGTTGTAAGGAAGCTCAAGCAGCCCTCCGGAGAGATCCACACGGAGAGAAACTGAGACCTGCTGTCAACACCTGGCATTGATTTGCCAGTCACAGGTGTGAGCCATTTGGAAGGGGACCACCTGGTGCCAGTCACGCCATCAGGTGACTGCAGCCCGGCTGATACCTTAACTGCAACCTCATGACAGATCCCAGGACGGAGCCACTCGGCTGATGCTGCTCCTGAATCCCTGACCCACAGAAACCGTGAGATAATGAATGTTTATTGCTGATCTGGGGTGTCATCTGTTACACAGCAACAGATAATACACTCAGCCTCATTCTAAGAATATCTGTAAATCCACAGGTTTGCGTAGTTAGTAATATACATATTCGTAATACACGCGAAGATAAACAATTAACCACTAAAATAAAAATAACCGTCAGTCTATTCTTCAAACCAAGTTGCTTACTGTCAGTGAACACGAACCATCCTCCGGAAAATGCGACTCGCAGCTTCTGCGGAATATTTGTTTTCCTCTCACAAAGTCTTGTTACTAAGGCAGCAGTCCAAAGCCCATTGTTCTTATTCTTGCTTCAAAGTGCCCACTGCACAGATTTGGAGAAGAGAGCTAATTATGTCGTATAATTAATTTGCAGCTCTTATGTGCTTCTGGGGAAAGCAAAGCACCTCCATTGTCTGTCGGAAAATCATTCTGAGGAGCGAGCGACGGCTTTTCCCGGGATTTCGTCATGATTTTATTTGGGGAAAGGAGGTCTCATGGGCGTCTGAGAGACGAAGGGGCAGGGAAATGGCTTCTAGAATTGCTTGGTGGGGAGCAGGAGCCTCTATCTTTAGGCCTTTGAAAAAAATCAGCCGAGCCCTGGATTTGGGACACGGCTGCACACACACGAGCTACGGATGGAAGGGGGCGGGATGGGAGCCAACACCGGGGCTGGGGTCTGCCGGTGCCGGTTGCTTTGAGACTGAGAAAGGTCTGCTTCTCTGGCTTTTCCGTACGAGCCACCACGCGGCACGCTCCCGTGGGACCTCCCGTCTCCTTCGCGCTGCTCGTTGCATTTGTAATTATTCAGCCGCTGCCACCACGTAGCAGAGCCCCGGCTGACACCTTGTCCTCGCTGTTCACCAACTGGGTGGCCCTGGCTCAGACACTTAGCCTTCCTCTTCTTCGGTTCCCAGACTGTGCCCTGGAGACCCTGATTCAGGAATTTGCATTTTCACAAAGCACCCTAAGTGGAAGTTCTGGGATTATCTTTCCCCATGGGCCTTGGTTAACTTTGCCAAGAATGAGAAAACCGGCCTAGGAGTCAGACAACTTCTCTTCTACTCTTCTTTCTTTCTTTAAGAAGTGACGTGACTCCAGTCACGTCAATGAACTGCTCTGAGCCTTGTTGTCCTCATCCGTGGAGTAGGATCAAGAATCCCGTTTATCCCAAAGGGCAACGTGAAAGCTAATTAATATGTGGGATATGACAGTGTTGTGTGAACACTAAGATGAGTTAGATAGATTCATTTATTTGTTTGACTAAGGTTTTGTGAGCATCTTAGCTGACAGCAGGAATGCAGGGGTCTGAAGTCAAGATCTCAGTCTCTTAGTCAAGATCAGCACTGAAGTCCAAATTTTGGGAAAAATAAATGCTCAGATGCACTGAATACACAGCACCATCTACCAGTTTCATGCTCATGACAGACATCGCTAATCAATCACAGCCCTCTCTTTCTTTGATTGCAGTGGAAACCTCCCAATCCTTCTCAATACAGCACTCCAGGGAGTTGCTGTTATTTTGTTGGAGCTTATTTATTATCTGAGGATTAGAGGAATAAACACATAACAAGTGACCAATACCTCTTCAAAAAGCACTTATTCATCTCTGTTTTTTTATCCTGTCCCTCCCATGCACATGGCCACAGACACTGGGCAAAGCACAGGAAGCAGCAAGGAGAATGGGTCTTTGCATCTCTCCATGCAAAGGAGAATTCTGGAAGGTCAGAACCACATAGGCCCAGAACCTTCCCATGGAAGGTGCTGACTGCAAGAATAGCAGGTAAGCCTTAGCCACCCTCCAGAGCTGGATTTAGGCCTTTCGGTCAGTCTGGGAGTCTCAGAATGCTCTAGATGATCACAGAAACCCCCGACCCTACCATCTGATCCCTCCACTGAATGGAAGTTGCATCTGTATATGGTAAAATCTAGACTCAGAAGAGCAAATATCTCCCACTCCCATGGCAGGCATCACTAATAAATCATGAAATTATTTTCTGTTGACTTCAGCCATGACCTCTTCTCAGTTTCTTTCTTTCTTTCTTTCATTCTTTCTTTCTTTCTTTCTTTCTTTCTTTCTTTCTTTGAGACAGGGTCTCACAGTGGCCTCATCATAGCTTATTGCAACCTCAAACTTCTGGGCTTAAGCGATCCTCCTGCCATAGCCTCCTGAGTAGCTGGGACTGCAGGTGCACTACAATGCCTGGTTACTTTTTCTATCTTTTGTAGAGCTGGGAGTCTTGCTCTTGCTCAGGCTGGTCTTGAACTCTTGGCTTCAAGCGATCCTCCCGCCTCAGCCTCCCAAGTGCTAGGATTACAGGCGTGAGCTACTGTGCCCAGTCTGAGTTCTTTTCAGCATGGTCTTCAACATAAGTAGGCACAAACAATTGATGGCATCAAAGTTAAATACACTGATCCATTTGCCATCTTTGTAAAATTAACTGTGTCTTTCCTTGACAGAAATAACAAGTGGAAACTGTTCTCTTTTTTTGGTATCCAAACTAGCCAGGCAGTGTATCCCTGGGAAGCATTCTCTGCAACCCTGTGCTTGCATTTGCCATAGTATCAACACGTGACCCTGACCTTGTCTGCCAGTGGGACTGGCCTTTCTCATTTCCACCAGCCAGGCTCAAGGGCAGGGACAATATTCTAGTCATTCCCGCATCCTGGTGTCTAGTACACAGCCTGGCATATAGGAGGTGTCCAGAGATTTTTGTGAACCAAACTCTCTGGAAAACAGAGATAATGCATTTGCAGATGAAATAAAATAACATATGTAAAAATGTTTTCCCACTGCCACACGGTCAAACAAATCTAAGTTTCAAGTTCAATGAACAAGAAGACCTCCTTCTTCAAGATGTTGCCGAATTAAACATTGGCCAGACTTTCCCGTTAACCTTGATCAGCCTTGCGTAGGGTCAGATTTTTGCCATCGGGCTGAGTGCAGTTTTGGAAGACTGACTCGGGCACCATAGGAAACGAATGAGCAACACTATGACCTCATCTTTCAGCTGGGAGGAACAGGAAGTCCAAGGAGAGAGACTGAAGCCATGCCACCAGAAACCGTCCTCCCAAAGGCGTCCGACTCTGTAGGGCACCTCACCTGGACAGACAACACGAGCCATCCCCTGACACACAGGACACTGCCCAGTAAAGAATGGGGAACCCAAAGAAAGTCGTAGCAATAACACTCTGAAAATATTTAGCAGCACAATCAAAGGTAAAAAGGCCCCTGAGAAACATAAACAAAGAAGATCGATACTTGGGTTAGCTTCTCTGAGAGGTGGACATGCAGCAGTCAGGGATGAAAAATGTTCACCAGCTGGAAATAAAAAAACGCAAGGAATGTATTTCAGCATGCACGAGACTTCTTGAGACAGCCGATGGTCTGGGGGGTGGCTTGTATTTTAGACGCAAGGGGTGGTAGAGAGAGGAAAATTTACATCAGGTAGAGGAGGGCAATTCTTCAAGCCAAAGGGAAGAAAGAACCGAAGACATAGAGTCTTGCTGCAGCCAGAGGGTCTTTGGTGGTGGTGGCGGGGGGGCTTGGTAGGGTTAATCCTCCCTTTCCCTGCTCCATCCTAGAAGTGAAGATGCCAGCCAAGTTCCTGGGAAGTGCAAGCACGTCCCCTGATTGCTGGCTGAATCCTGCCCACCGAAACCCTGAAATTACCCCTTGTGTCTCCCAGGTTCTCTGCTGCTGCCAAGAATATTGGGGACGGAGGAAAACTTGCAGCTGGAAATGAGGAAGCCCGTGAGCACCGCTCTGCCCCCATGAGCAATCCCTCCGCGACGCGACAGGGCTGCGCCAGATGTGAGTCTCTTCCGGGCGTCAGCGGGACTTCACGGTGTCCCCGTCCTCTGACCGCTGGGGATGTCGGCAGCTTGGACTAGCGCAGGGGAGCCAGTGATGGATAAGGGAGAGTTACAGGGTGGGGAACGAGGAGGGAAGGATGTAAGTGGGTGAAGGCCCGGGGAGCGGGTGTTGGAGCGTGTGAACTTAGCTCTGGATTTAACTGCAGGTTTCTTTTGTTTTAAGAGGAGCAGGAGAGAAATGGTTTGGCAGCCATACCGAGGATCAGAAAAGATATCTCCTGCATCCGTAGATCCCAAAGTACATGAAGTGGGAGCTGTTCCTGTTTGATGGGGCTACAGGAAAAGAAAAGTCCTCAGTTCAGGCAAGAAGGGGAAGATCACGCTTTGAGAGTGTGTTGATGGTATGAAATCTCAGCTCGCTTCAAAGGACACATGATGAATCTTGAAGTTATGAGGGCATCATCTACTAAATCCTCATATCAACCTTGTGGAATAGATCTCACTATTCCCATTTTACAGACGGCAAAAGAAGGCTCAGAGAAGTTCAGTGACTTGCCCAAGGTCACACAGTCATTGGTGACAGTACTGGGACTCAAACCCTGGTGCTCCCAGCTAGAGAGCACAGATACTTAAAAACTACATCTATTCACTGCGCCAATACATAAAAAGACCAGTGTAGCACAAAACCTCCAAATAGACGTATCTAGAGGAAATAATCTTAACCCGTATCGAAACATGAAAAAGAAAACAACCAGATGAGGCACCTACCTATGTAGTTCATGATAAATCCCTGGCCCTTTCCAAAGATGAGGCCGGCAGGGTCCGAGTGGAACTGGATGGTGAGGTCCGGCGTGGAGGAGTACAGCTTCTGGGGGCCGCTATTCCCGAGGTA